TTTTATAATGTCAAAAATATTCCTACCCTCAGGTTTCTGCACATTCCTCAGGAGTGTTTAAGGGCCACTGTCCAAGGTAGGATGCTGCACAGGCCTCAGATATGACTCAGGCCCCTTCTGCTCATGCACCTAGTGTCACATATTGCATGAATTCCAATGTTTCTAGCCCAGTAATTGTGATTGAATAACAACATCAAACTAGTTAAACACAGTAGAAGAATCTAAAAGTTTTTGTAAAAATCTTCACTGAAGAATCCAAAGAAAGAAGCAAGCAAATCACTGACCATTTTCAAGTTGAAAACTCTCACCCAACCAAAGGGTTGCTTGAAATCTGGAAGGAAATGTCATTTTCTCAGGAAAAAAAAAAAAGTTCTCAAAAGAAAACTGGCATTTTCCCTGAAATTTTTCAATTTTAAAATAGAACTTTTTAAACACCCTTACCTCTGATTATGCTATATATTCTTGAGCACCATCTAGTGGTGCTGCATTATTAATTATTTATGAAAATACAAATCACTTCTCTAATAAAATTCAAATATAATCATATAATCTTTCAAAAGGTACCTAAAATTGAGAAGGCAGAATTTAACCTATTATTTATTGAATTCGTGTTTTCCCTTCAACAGAAAAGAAAAATTGCTATTGGTGAAATTGATTTAGAATCTGAACTAAGTAGAGAAATGCAATAGTTTTAATGGTTTGTAATGTACTAGGTCAGTAAATGTATACAAGGCGATGAAATTATTTCCAATTTACACCTGCTCCCAACCTGCTAGTCCCTGTTAGACTAACAAAAAAATTCCCTTCTTTTCATATTCAGGTATTTATTTAATTTCACACAGCTGTGATATGCCAGCATCTTCCATTTTATTTCTTCACATCCAACCAAATTAAATAGCATTTCTCTTGAGATGGTCATACCAGCTTGGGATTTAAAATTTGCCCTGACTTACAGCAAGAAAATACTGCTCTAACAGAAATTTGGTGTTATACTTCAGAATCAGTGATGCAGTTACAGGGTCTATGCTTGCCAAAGGGGATTTTGAAGGGCCTGTCTGAGTAAAGCGACATTTGGGGAACAGACCAGTGCCACTTCTATGAAGCTTAAGGTGCTCAGTAAAAATACCATTTAACCCTTACCTGAAAGTTGACTCTAAAACTATGGTTTCCATTATTGTGTATAAGGTGACATATCTAAGTGTCTGCAACTCTGTAGTCAATTAAACATGAGGATAACAATGGAGAATGAAGTATGAAAGTCTTTGCTGAAAAGCCTTTTTATGATTTCTTTTGTTTGTTTAATGTGTGACTTCTGTGTTGAAGACAGATTGTCTTATTTGCACAAAGGAGTGACAACTGCAGGCTACAACAGTGACCTTGACTTGGAAAAAGTCCCTCTAGGGGTGACAGGTGATTGAGTGAGAGAACAGTCCACTCTCCAAAGCCACTTGCTTTAAACTGTGGACTCCCTCTAAAAGTTGTACAAAAAATGTCAGTGAATTGTCATTCCTGTTAAAATTGTGTTGAATTCTGTGCTGTGTTCGCAAAACCCGGCCTGAAATCATCAACCTACTGTGACCAGAAGAACCAAAAATCTCAAAGTGCTGCTGTAGATTGGAAGGGGGAGGGGGAAGGGGGGGGGAAGGGAACCAAACCAACACTTTAACTTATTCCATTCAACATATTAAATCGGGTAACCCTCATTTTTCTCACTAATACAGAAATTACTTAAAAATATTACTCTCCTTCATCTTTCCTAGTTTGGATAAAGCCCAACGTTGACTAAACAATCACATCAAGTATAGAAAGCAGCACTATAAATTTAGCATTCACTATGTTGTGCCTATCCCTACCACACTACTACCAAGCAACATAACACTTCTTTCAGTGCCTTGATACTTTCTTTGTAGTACAGATGGCATCACATGTCCCATGCAGTTCTAAGAACCCTCCCATGAAACAGTGTGGAATTGTATTAATACCTTATTCTTAGGTTTTAACAGAGGTACTTAACAATTTGGATCTACTCAGTATTTCTGAACGATGTGCATAGATTGACTTTACATCTGCCCTTCAGACTGCAGTTTAGCACTAAATTTACACACAAAATAGCACCATCCCAAACACAAATTATCTGTATGACCAATTTAAACAAACATATTGTTACATTTCTATTTATATATATATTGCAGACTTAAGCATATCCTGACTCTAACTCCTAGACTATCAAAATTACAGGTTTTTGTTATCTCAAATGCAGCGGCATGACACATAGCAAACAATTTCTGAAGTTGGCCTCAGTTCAAGTAGAAAGGGACCTAGAAGCGGATCATGGGTATTTGTGTACTTAAAAAATGGTGTAAAGTTATTTCCAGTGATTAAACCTCACATTGTTCAAGTCTAACTGCAAGAAATCCTGACCAGAAATTCGCGGAGTGCTCTCTGCTGCCATCCCATCCCTGTTTCTCAGCTCCCATAGTTAACCTAAGGATGAGTTGTGCAACTTGCATTATTTCCTAATGTTTATAGACAAGGGGCCAAGGAGTCTTCCCTCACCCATTCCCTCCAGCATTGCCATGTTTTCAGAAATTAGAAAAGTGGAAGTTAATCACCGGCTTGGGATAATTAGGAGATTGCTAAAGACAATGTTTTACCATACATTGTATATTGATTAATTTTTATTTCCACTCACAATTAAAGGAGCCACAACTTGCCAAAACCGCTAGCTTCGTTTCCCAAAAGGGAAACAGGCAAATGTGTTCATTCATAACTTTTTTTTTTTCTGCGACTTACCCTCAAGTTCTTCATTTAATATAAAGGGGGTGAAAAAGATATTTAAACTCTGCATTGCATGTACAACTTCTCTTGAAGTATTTCAGGCAAGATGATGATCACCCACAGATAACATCAAGTGTCACCGAATGTGAGAGAATATGATTCTCCCTAAGCCAGTTTTCATTGCATTGTATTTGCTGGGTGTAGATCATCCACATATCTCACATTTTCCTTGGTTTGGATAGATATTTTTTTGGATTATTTTTACAACAGGGACATAAAGTATTTATGTTTATAAAAGCTAGCAGGGATGTGGTTTATAGCTCATACCTATGGAAAACACACTAAAAAGCTACAACCGTACTTTCCTCTACTTTGGTCACAAGTGGTTTGTGACCAGTAATACCTCTGATCAGAATTTGTGCAGCATGTAATTGTTACCATAAAAGCTCTGTATTACTGGAATCCAAACCTTGCAGGGGCTCGGGTGGAGGTGTGGGGCAGAAAACGGTCTGTTTCAAGGACGGGTTGGTTTGGACCTTGTCCAGAAGTTTAAACTTTGGTCTCATCAGCGTGGGTGGGAGGGCGCATTCAAAGCCACGCAGACGTGTTTCACGTGGACTTTGAAAGCGCAGAGGGGCCGTAGCAGGGAGCCGGACCACACAGGCTCGGCAAGGCTTTGTTCTCCTGGCTGAATGGCAGTGGTGGGAGCGCACAGCTTCCAGGCTTCAAGCCGGTGACTGACAGCAGCATTTATTAAAATGTCATCTCCTAATTTTCACGCCGGATATCTGCTGTCGCGTAGACTGACCCGATCTCTCACGCCAGCGGGAAGGGCCAGAGGACAACCCAACCTGCCGTGGGGAGCAGAGGAAGCGCAGCCAGAGGGGAGAGAGAAAACGCAAATCCAGCCCTACCTAGCTGTAACAACATAAAGTAAAAAAGGAAGGGGGGTCGTGGGGGTGGGGGCGACAGGGGGGAGGGGAGTCAGCCTTCCTTGTGGCAAGGCTCTTTACGCCTATCTCCCCAGTCTTTAGTCCCTCACCCACTGCTAACCGTGATACTTCAGCCGCTGTCGCCTCGCTAACTCTGCTCTCAACCGGGCAGCGAGAGCCTCGCGTTCCGGACACACGGTTCCAGACACCGAGTTCCGGGCACGCCGCCTCAGGCATCGGGTCCCCATCCCTCCCGGTGGTGGACCCGGTGGCACTTGCCGTGCAGAGCGGCCGGAATGAATGCAGGAGCTATCTGGGCACAGCCTTATCTCTGTCAGAGAACAAATACAGCGTTAATTACAGCCTCGCGAAGAAAATTGCTATTGTTTCCAGTCAAAGACAGGCGACAGTTTGAAAGCGTTTATTCTCGGAGCCCTGTATCAGTTAATCTCCACCGACCGCGGTGCCGAACTGACAGCTCTTGGGGCTGCGACAGCGGGGCGTTATGCTTTAGGCGAAGGAACAAGAGGAAGGAGATCAAGCGCGGGCTTCCCCCGCCGCTACCCTCCGCCCCGCCATCCCCGTTCGTTTCCCTGGCTCCCTGCCCTGCGCGGGGGCGCAGCCACCCCCAGCGCTGGGAACGGCAGGCAGACACCCCCCTCCAAACACACACACCCCGCACGCCGAAAACAACGTTTGTGAGACGTGCTGGGCGCCGCGCGAGCAGCCGTGACGCGCGAAGCGCTCGGCGGGCACTAACGCCGGAGCCGGGAGGGAAGCGCCCCACGCACACGCGCACTAGCGCGCACGCACACGCGCGGAGCGGGGCGCAGGCGCGCGCAAGCCGCCACCCTCTCTTCTCCCTCCCCCCCCCCCTTTACTCCAGGAGAGCGGGGCGCGCACCATCCCCCGAGCCCGGCGGAGGGGGAGGCGCGCAGGGGGCGTGCGGAGGCGCGCAGAGAGCGCGCACAGGCGCGCACTCACGCAGCGGCACCCGCGGAGGCTCGGCGCGGCCGGCCGGCTGGCGGGCTGGCTCGCACACACAGACACGCGTGCACATACACACACACACACACACACACACACACCACACACACACACATACAAAGGCAGCGGCAGAGCCGCGCTCTCTCTCCCTCCGTACTCCCTACGCGCCCGGCGTTCACACCGCTCCCAGGGATCGGCAGCCGAGGACCCCCCACGCCGCTGTCCGGCCACCGGTGTCTGAAGCGGGAGGAGGAGTGAGGAAAGAAGAATAACTCTATTAGTAACAACAACAACAAAACCCACCAATAAATCTGCACTAGCGCCTTAGTCTTCCTCTCAGACCATCGCCTGGCTGGCATCGCCGCTCATCGCGCTGCTGTGCGGAGACTTTGTTTCAAGTAAAAAAAAAAAACAGAAAAAACCACCAAAAACCCCTTCGCTTGCTCAGCCACTTCCATTTTTCCCCCCGCAGTCTTGCTGGTTTGAGGTGGTTTTTCTTCTTTCCCTTCGTGTGGTTGGATTTGGTGGATCAAGCACCAAAGCTGCTTTTTTTTTTTTTTTTTTTCCTCGGTAGGGTGTGTGTGTGGCGTGCGGGGGTTTTCTCGCCGCATTTTTTATCTTCTGCTCCTGTGCTGATTTTTTTTTTCATCTTGGTTTTGAACCTGAGCCGGGGAAAATGGGAAACGGTGCTTCCGACAGAAGGGGAGTCTCTCCATCACTGTTGTTGGGACGTGTGCCTATGGTGCTAGTGTTTTAGAGAAATAGCCTGACAGCTTTCGGAGTGGAAGGTAAGGGTGCCCGGGGCATTTCCATTTCCAGGGATTACGACCGGACAGCATTTAGTTTGGGATTCCGGGGAGGAAGTGGCGGAGGAGGGGGACAGGCTGTTGCTGAAGGATAGAGACAGCACATACATAATGATCTCCGCATTTACTTCAGCGCTGCAGTTTAAAAGTTAAGAGAAGTGCGTTTCGCGACAGGTCTGCTTCCCTGAGAATAATTTCCAGCGAGACCGAGAAAACCTGAGGTTTGTGCAGGATTGGGGTAATTTTGGAGGGGGGAGTGTGATGATGCCAGGTTAATAGGAAGTTAAAATAAGAGAAGTCAGCGGGTCTTCTGTTGGGGGAAAAAAAAATAAGTGGAGTGATGGCGCCGTCTATGTTCGGCTAAACTACAGTGTCGCCTAGAAAATCAGTTTGGGGAATATCCAAACTAAACGCCCGTTTGCTTTTCAGCAGAAGAGGATTCTCCCCCTTCCCAAATGGGCAACCTTAAGCCTCTTTGGCCGTTTTTTTAACTCTTTCCTCTATGGAAATGAAAAAAAAAACCTTTAAGTGCCTAATCCTTTCAGTTAGCAGACTGCTCTAGTACTTAGCGATACTGCAAACTAACCGAAATGCTGCCGGCACGCTCAATTGAGTGTGTGTGTGCATCTGTGTGATGCACATGGGAAGAGAGAGATTAAGACAATGCTGTGTTTCTGTAGCCTTGCCTGAACAAATGCACAACTGAAATGTGGGCTATTTGATTACGTTTCTTCATAGAAAAGAGCCTAGCACTGCAGACGTCTTTATTTTTTTACTGCAAATATTACACAGGATGGGAAAAAGTCAGAGGCTTTTTTCCTTTTTCGAACAGAGCAGCAAATAAGCTCCCTTTTTGCTTTCCAGATTGTAAAATTAATCCTTTTTCATGGGTGGAATTCCTAATTTAGACACTTATTGTCACATTGGCTCTCAACGCCTACACCATCCTGAATAACACTGCGCAGAACTGCATTGCCTGCAAAGTGCTCCAGCAAAGGGGAAATTGTTTCCAGAATTCCCAGTAAGTTTCTGTTTTTTAAAACCTGAAATGCTGTACCGAGCCTACTTGGAGACGGAGGACCGTGGTGTTCATTGAGACGGACGCTCAGAAAGGAGGAAATCCGACCGTGTGGATAGACCCATGAGCAGCTCTGCTTTTTTTTTCTTTTTTTTTTTAAAAAAAAAAAAACAACACCTCCACCATAAAGAGGGTTAGAGCTGGTGCTGCTTTACCCTCTTCAAGATCCAGAGTTCGAATTATAATCTAGGAGATACGGAAATCTCTTCAAGGGAGCTTAATCCAGTGATTTGCTGTGTGTTACGCAATGGGAGACAGAAGATGCCTTGCTGTTTGGTGAGGAGATGAAAAGCTAGGCAAAGACACACATCAAAACTCAGTAACAGTGCCTCTGTGTGTGTGTCTGCCTCTGCTTACAGAGCAACAGTGGAAGAGACTGCAATCTAGAGAGTTTCGAAATTGGGTTGGCATCACTCCTGTCTGCTTGCATTTAAAAGGAGAAGGTGAAAAGCTTCTCATTTGTAAGAGATAAGCAACTTCTTAAAGGTTAATGCTGAAAACGTTCAATTTGATTTTTTTTTAATAACATTACAGAGTTAAATATAACTAAGATTCACTTTATTAACCTGGGCCACTGTTAAAGAGAATAGAGCATGTGGAGGCTGTGGCAGTTGACAGGAGCAGGAAAACAGCTTTACTTGAAGATACTAGCAGAGAAAATGTAATATGTCTTTCATCATTCAAACACATGTCTAAAATGCAGGAGCTAATCAGACAGTACAAGATATTTGTAATAAGAGGGCAAGTGCAGTTCAATAGGTGCAGAGATCCTACTGTAGCATTGACGGCTATACAGAGATACTGCTTGTAGGTACTAATACAGTGATCCATTTTATACATCCTTAGGAGTTGAAGCACATTGAAATTCATATCCAAAAAAGCTGGCACTTAGTGGTGGTGTCAGACCAGCACTAATTTCATCCATCTTTGTTTCTTTCTCCAGTAGCCTCAAAATTTTAGCAATACGTTAATCTCAGCATTTCTTGCCTGGGTTTTCTTTTCATAGGGACCTCTGTATACCAGGTGGCCAGGGTGAGGGCATGCAGGCATATTGGAGATACCCTCCCATGTGTAGCAAATAATAATTTGTGTGGTTTTAGTTATGGCTGTAATTCTTCACAGCTACTTCACAGATTTGATAGAAAAATAACACATAACAAGAGATGCTACTGGCTTTCTTATTCTGTGTTCTGTACCGGTGTAATTCTGCATGTGCGTATTGTATATGCAGATATATGACTATAGCAGGCTACTTATTTACTTTTTGAATAAATAAATAAATAAAAAGCCCTTTTATCAGTCTGCGGGGTAAGGCGCTTGGGCTTTTACCTGAGCTGAGCCCTTCTGGTCCTCGCCATGATGACAACAGCCTAGACAGGAGAGGGCATTCCTATTAATAATCTAATAGATGTTGGTTTTGTTCAATTTGACTGTAGAGGCCGTGGCTGTTGCGATGGCCACGTGATGGCGCTGCGCTCACGGCAGCGGTCCCGGCCCTCGCCTTATAAAATACAAATTACCTGCCCTTCTTTCTGAAAGGGGCTCGAACTGCAAGCTTGAAAACAGCTGGCTCGAATATTGGAAAGAGTTTGGTTTTCTATGCGTGAAGAATTCTACTTGCATTTTTATTTCATTTCATCTCCTGCAGGCCAAATGACATAGGATGAAGGCTGTTCGTAATTTGCTGATTTATATATTTTCCACCTATCTACTGGTTATGTTTGGATTTAATGCTGCCCAAGACTTCTGGTGTTCCACGCTGGTGAAGGGGGTCATTTATGGATCGTATTCTGTAAGTGAAATGTTTCCTAAAAACTTCACAAACTGCACTTGGACGCTGGAAAATCCAGATCCCACCAAATATAGTATTTACCTAAAATTTTCCAAAAAGGACTTCAGCTGCTCCAACTTTTCCCTCTTGGCTTATCAGTTTGATCATTTTTCCCATGAAAAAATAAAGGATCTTTTAAAAAATAACCATTCTATAATGCAGCTCTGCGATTCCAAGAATGCTTTTGTATTTCTGCAGTATGATAAGAATTTTATTCAGATACGCCGTGTCTATCCTATTGATTTCCCGGGATTACACAAAAAAGAAGATGACCAAAAATCCTTCTTTGAGTTTTTGGTGTTGAACAAGGTGAGCCCAAGCCAGTTTGGGTGCCATGTGTTATGCACTTGGTTGGAGAGCTGCTTGAAATCTGAGAATGGGAGAACCGAGTCCTGTGGGATCATGTATACAAAATGCACCTGCCCTCAGCATTTGGGAGAATGGGGAATAGACGACCAGTCCCTGGTGTTGCTCAACAACGTTGTGCTGCCCCTCAACGAGCAGACGGAGGGTTGCCTGACCCAGGAGCTGCAAACCACTCAGGTCTGCAACCTCACCAGAGAAGCCAAACGGCCACCTAAAGAAGGTAGGTTCTTCCTGGGGGAGGGGGGGGGGTGGGGGTGGTAGTGGTAGTGGTGTGTGTGAGCTAAATCCCACACCAGTGTGTAGGTCCAGCTACCAGCTCTCCTCAATACTCACATCCTTTTGACCTGCTCTCCACTCTAGCTTGCCTATAGATGAGGTGAAAGGGCTGGAGAAGATGCACTTTCCCTCAGGGCATGGAGGGCTGTATTCCCATTTCTAAACTGGCCTAACCTTCAGTATATAGTTCTGCTAAGCACTGTTGAGGCTCCTCGTAAGTAGATCCATCTGTTTTCAGCTCCCACTTACAGTAATGCCCACAGGTGGTGAGACAGGAATCTCTCTCCCCCTCACCACCTTTTTACTGCAACCACCCGACTACAAAATCTTGGCACTTTTTATATGATCCCTTGACTTCGCAAGGAAAATGTTTCCAAAGGCATGTGGGCAATCTAAAAGACAAAGAGATTTACCATGGTGAGGACACCTGGTTCCAAGTGGGCCAAAGCTTAACAAATCTAAAAAAAAATCGAGAAGAAAATGCAGTTCTTCAGAGTAAACTCTGTACCTAAGATGTCTAGAGACGTGAAGCACTGCACAGTCAGGACATGCTGGGAGCTCTAGAAAGGGGCTACAGGCTGCTGCTGCACCCCTTCTCCAGGCAGCCTTGGCTCCAGGAGACAAGGCTCTGACTCTCATGCAGTATTAGTGTGTGGGAGTTGGTGTCTCGGGTCCCAGCAGCTGCTTCATGTCCCCACTGGAAACATGAGGGTTATAGAAGTGTGGGAAGGCAAAGGGTCCAGCAATTAGAATGGCAGCCATCTGCCTAGCCTCTCTGCTTCATGCCTCCTATTTTGGCCTTCTGACATTTTGGGGAGGTCTGGGGGTGATTTTGGGAAGAACACTCGGGATGGGAGGCAGGGTAAGCATAGGCTGAACCTGTGGGTGAAAAGGTCCTTCAGAGCAGCCATGTGGGAATGGGGGAAGGGGGGAGGGGGATGTGCCCGTGCGGCAAGGGATAAATCATCGAGCCCAGGGTGTTGCATTTTAATGCAGGAAATGTTCTCTCTCTCCTTGTTTTCTGCATAGCCACAAAGCTCCCAGTCTGTGGCGAGGCAGTGCCAAGCTCCCAGCCCCCCTA